TGTGGCCCACACTCGCGCTCCGTGGCCTGCGTCTCTGCGGCCCACACCCGCTCTCTGTGGTCTGTGTCTCTGTGGCCCACACTCGCGCTCCGTGGTCTGCGTCTCTGTGGCCCACACTCACGCTCTGTGGTCTGCGTCTCTGTGGCCCACACTCACGCTCTGTGGTCTGCGTCTCTGTGGCCCACACTCGTGCTCCGTGTTCTGCGTCTCTGTGGCCCACACTTGTGCTCCATGGTCTGCGTCTCTCTGTGGCCCAGGCAGACAGAGGCGCAGGTCTGGCTCTGGCTGTCATGGCCAGGCATCTCCCAGCTTGCCCCCGTCTGGCTCTCCTGCCCCGTGCCTGGGCATGGTGGGACAGAGTGGGAGAGCAGTGCAGGCCTGGGGCGCTGTGGGCCCTGGTGGGGACGTCCTGGCTTTGATGGTGTGGGCTGTGCCGGCTCTGGGACCAGGCATCAGGCATGTCTGAACAGGGTCAGAGGTGTGAGGGCTGGCTGGCTGTCAGCTGTCTGCACGCACAGCAGGTCCAGAGCATGCAGACCCGGCATGCGCACAGGAAGAAACCATTGTGCACTGTCCTGCAGAGCTGTGTCACCTGTGGTGGCCCTGCCTCGACTGTCACTGGGCCTGGGTCCTGCAGCACGAGCCAGGTCTGGTCAGGGCCTGACCCTGTGTCCCTCCCTGTCCCCAGAGCCCATGGTGGTGTTTGCCAAGGAGCAGCCAGCGTGCAGGGAGGTGCAGGCTGAGGCGGGGGCCAGCGCCACGCTGAGCTGCGAGGTGGCCCAGGCCCAGACAGAGGTGACGTGGTTCAAGGACGGGAAGAAGCTGAGTGCGAGCTCCAAAGTGCGTGTGGAGGCCAAGGGCTGCAGCAGGCGGCTGGTGGTGCAGCAGGCGGGGCAGGCAGACGCCGGAGAGTACAGCTGCGAGGCCAGGGGCCAGAAGGTCTCCTTCCGCCTGGACGTCACAGGTGGGTTCCTTGAGGTCTTTCTTTCGTTCCTCAGGTTAACTTTTAGGGAGTAGGGGATGTGTGGAGGGGCCGCCTAATGGCCTGTTTTCTCACAAAGCTTCCCAGGTGGTGCTAGCAGATATTGATTATGTGCTGAGGGCTGGATTTTATGAAGTGTCAAGTGTAAACTTCACAACAACCTTGGGAGGAGGAATTCGGGTTATTCTTATTTAATATAAGGCACAGGGAAGTTCTGTAACTTGCCAAAGTTCACACAGGCAGAAAACTTCAGAGCCAGGATTTTGGCCCAATATTCTGGGATTATTTATTTTTTTCTGCCTGAAGAACTCTGTCATCAGTATTTATTTTAGCAGGTCTGCTGTGGCTCTAATATTTTTGCTTGTTTAAAAACATATTTCTTTTGCCTTCAATTATTTTGAGAGCTGTTTTCTCTGGGTGTCAAATTACAGTTCAGAAGCTCCTCATTTATATGGTAAAAATTTTAAAGAAACACTTCCATTGTTTTCAAATTCCATATTTTCTTTTGAAACATCAGTTATCAGATCTATTACGTTCCTTGAGAGTTATGTTTTGGGATTTTTTGTCCTGTTGCTTTTAAGATAATTGCTTTTGGTTTCGGTTTTCAGCACTTTTACTTTGATGAACCCAGGTGTGGTTTTCTTTGTATTCATACTGGTTGGGGTTGCAGAGAATCTTGAGTCTGTGGGTTTATGTCTTTCGTCAACCGTAGACTGTATTTCCCCACAAGTCTCATATGCATCTCTCTTTTTCTCTGCCTCTTAATTCTTTTTCTTTCTCTGCTTTAGTCTGGATATTTTCCTTTGACCTGTCTCCCAATTCACTAAGTTGTCTGTTCTGCTATATCTAATGTGCTGTCAAACTCATCTATTGTGTGTTTACTTTCAGTTATTGTATTTTCAAGTTATATAATTTTCATTTGATTAATTTCTTATAGATTCTAGACTCTGCAGTAAATTTTTCATATTTGATATATTTTCTTTCTTTCATATTTTAAAAAATATTAATCATGGCTATATCATGGTCTGATAACCATAATAACTGGATCACCTAATATCTGATGATCTGACTGATATTGCCTTTTTTTTTTTTTTTTTTCTCTTTACTCCTCTCCTTGGCATGCCAGCCAAGTTTTGATTGACTGTTAGACCTTGTGTGGGACACTTGTTGAGTGTAGGTGATCCTGTCTTACTCCAGAAAGAGGATCAGTCTTTCCTCTGCTAGGCAGGGAGATGATGACTCAGAGCCTCAGTCCATTCCAGGACCGTGCTGATTCGAGGCTGCGTTGTGGTTTTTATCAGGAGCATCCATTGCTGTTTTGCCTCCAATCCTGGGCATAGTCCTCCAGGGATTTCTGCAAAGTGCATGGGCCCTCCACCAGCAGACACCCAGCTCTAGTCTTTGTCTCCCTGGTAATGCAAGATGGTGAAAAGTCTGCTCTGGTTTTCTGCTTGGCCTCTTAGTCCCCTGCCCCATGCAGCTTCAGAACTCATCAGATGTCTTGAGGGGAACGTGCCTGAATGGGGGGCTCAATTCTACATGGTTCCTTTTCCCTGAAGACTTGGCTCCTCAATCTTCAGTTTTGTCTCTGTCCACATGTGTCCACAGCATTGCTAGTTTTCCTGTTTCTTAGTGACAGCCCTGTGCCCAGGTTTTCGTTGTCATGCCATACCCAGAAGCAGCAGTGCCCTGATGGGAAAGCAGGTACCCAGTGTGGCCCCACATCTCTGAGCAGTGTCCGTTTACCTTCCTCACTCACTTCACACCTATCCCTGCAGGAGAGCCCCAGCCCTAGCTTTCATCTCCGTTAGAATGTCTCCCCTCGGCTTTCATCAAAGCTGCCTCCATTTTATCATTTAGCCCTCCACCTAAACATCACTCCTTAGTGACGGCTGCTCTGATCACTGAATCTAAGTTGCCAAACAGTCCCTTCTCTCTGGCATGTCACCTGTTTGTTTCATCAGCACCCACCACAGCGTTACAGCATTGTTGCCACGGTTTGTATGTTCGTTTGCCTGTCTCTCTGCTAGAAGGTAAGATCTGTGAGAACAGAGACTGCTGCTCACCGTCGCATTTCCGGCTTACCACCATAGTACCAGCACATAGTGGGCCCTCCTTTGACAGTAGTTGCATCGAAGATTGAATGAATGAATGAGTGAATGAATGAATGACTGCATCTACAGTGTGGAATCTCTGAGATCCTGCGTGTATTCATTTGAGTTTAATGGAACATGTATGATTATTAACGGTTGAGATGTCAGGTGTTGGTGAGGATGTGCAGAACTGGGGCTCTCACACTGCTGGGGGAAGGAGTTGGTACAGACATTTTGGAAATATCTACTAAAGCCAAATGCAGGCCTACCTACATCCAACAGTTCCATGTGCCCCAAAGATACGTACAGGAACGCTCATAGCAGCTCTACTCATCGTCTCCCCAAATGGGAAACAACCCAAATGAATCACAAGAGGAAAAGGAAAAATACACCATGGTGTTCATGCAGCGGAGTCCAATCTATCAATACAGAGAGCCAGCTGCTGCCAGATGCAGCCACACGGAGGGATCTCACAGATGTTGTGCTGAGTGAAAGAAAACAGACTCAGAAGCACATGATGTGTGATTGCATGCATGCGAAATCACAGAACAGGCTAAAGTAACTGCTGGTGATGGAGGTTAGAATAGTGCTTATTTTGGGGGGTGGTTGGCAGTGAGTGGGGAGCTGGGAATGTTCTGGTTGTTGATGTTGTGGTTGGGTGGGAGCAGGTACACCTGCACTTCATTGAACTGTCCAAGTAAGTGAGCGCACTTTACATGTGAGCTATACTCAGAAAAATGGAGAGTAGTTTGTGGAGTCATACCGTGTCCCAGGCTCTGGGGATATAAGAGTGAATGACCCAAGCTGTCCACAGAGGGGACCGTCACATGGGAAGGACAGTGAACTTCAGTGACAAGTGCTGGAATGCCTTCGGCCGCCTTCCTCCCACCTCAGGAATTGCTCTTGAGTCAGGACACCCCTCAAGGGTGCATGGAGGCCCTGCGACAGGAGACATGGTGCTGTAAACTCTGACACCCCACCAGGCACATGACGTCACTGGCTCCAAGGAGAAAATTCACTGAACTCTGAAGCTTGGGTCCCTGTGACATAGGCTGGTTCTAGTCTTGTGTTTCTGACCCCCTGTCCCTCCCTGTCCCCAGAGCCCACGGTGGTGTTTGCCAAGGAGCAGCCGGTGCGCAGGGAGGTGCAGGCTGAGGCGGGGGCCATCGCAACGCTGAATTGCGAGGTGGCCCAGGACAAGACAGAGGTGACGTGGTTCAAGGACGGGAAGAAGCTGAGTGCAAGCTCGAAAGTGCGCGTGGAGGCCAAGGGCTGCAGCAGGCGGCTGGTGGTGCAGCAGGCGGGGCAGGCGGACGCCGGAGAGTACAGCTGCGAGGCCGGGGGCCAGAAGGTCTGCTTCCGCCTGGACATCACAGGTCAGTTCTTGGGGTAGGGGGTGAACTAGCCTTGTGTGGAGGTGAGGATGGGACGGGCTTACAGCCCAGACAGACCTGGTGTTCTTTCTACTAGACCTCATCTCTTCTAGCCTTCTGTCCTCCCAATTCCCATATCATACCTGTGGCTGGGCCAAGGGGGGCTGGATGGGAAGGGTGTGAACAGAAGGGAGAGTGTGTTCCTGTAAACCTCGTGTGGTATTTCCACACAGTAATGCACACTCATAAATTCCCAGCATCTGCCCAGAACCTTTCAGGTACTCCCTGGTGTCTGAGACTCTGTGTGCTCCTTGCACTGGGAGTCTGGTCTCTCACCTGTGGGTATATGAACTTCTTCCTCTTGGATGTCCTGGCAGCTCCCAGATGCCCTCACCCAGCAATGCATGTGGGTTCACACTAGGGAAGGATGTTTGAATTTCGTTAAACCAAGATAAGGGGAAATTTCTGCCAGTGGATCGTACTTAGATTTATCTCGACTGAACTATGGGTTATCAAAGTTTTAGGTGTTGTAGACACTCTTCCCTCCTTGGATAGAGAAATTATCTGTGCACCTATATGTAGCAAAACCTAGATCCCTGTTTTCTTGCAATGTCTGTGCAAAGTAAACAAAGACCAGAGCATTGGTGGATATGTGTCTGAGATATGCACATGTGAGGTCTGGATTCTCTTTTTAAAGCAAATCTTGTTTCTCTTCTGTGGGAACATTCTGTGTCAGAATTCCCCTTGGAGTTTGATGTATAAATTTAGACATGGAGAAGAAGAAGTAGCTTATCCTGCAGCAGCAGCGTGGTTAGAGAGGAGCTCCTGAAGGAGCAGCCTGACTGGCAGAGCAGGACTGGTTTCCTAGCATTTCCCGATGACGAGAGTGTGTCTGTGCCTCCCGGGCTGGTGGATAGAGAATCTGAGGACTAAATGTATTTAAAGCTATCATCAATTTGTGCCATAAAATTCTTAACAAATTATAAATAAAACGCTTCTTCCTTAATTTGATAAACGATTCTGCAGAAAAACCAGCTAATCACAGAATGAGAAACCTTGAAAGCTTTGCCTCTGCAACAGGGAACCAGAGGAGGAGGCTGCTGTCAGCACCTCTAGCCCACAGTGCACAGCACAGTGAGGAGGAAAATAAAGAAAAAAGTATAAAAGTTTGAAAAAACAAAAGTGGAATTCACAGGTGATATGATTTATCTGAAAGTTAAATTATTAGACTTAGTAAGATAGTTGAGAAAGATCACTGTGTAAAAAATCAATATGCAGTAAACACTTCTCTGTCTATATACTTGCAACAAACACTTGGAAATGAAAATTTAAGACTTACAATAACACAGAAGAATCTTTTTCTAATTCCAAGTCTAATAAAAGGTGCTTGGAGACTTGGTGGGGGATTATTGAACATTTTGGAGAGACTATCAAGAGATCTAAGTAGATGGATAGAAATCCATGGAAGAATCTAAGATGTTCACTAACAATCCAAACCCGAACAATGTTCATTTGGCGGGATGAGGTGGGGTTGAAAATTGACAAGCACATCTCAAAGGCCTTGGGCAGCCAGCACGCTCTTAAAGAGAGCAAAGTTTGAGCGTTTGCTGGACTGGCGTCAAGACTACCATAAACACGGCAGTAAAGACCATGGTGTCCTGATTTGGGTCAATACACAACCAGAGGACGGGCCAGTGATCTCACAGCCCCCGCAGGAATGGGCGGCCACCCTCCTCTCCTCCTTTTATTGTGGAACCGTGCAAGGAGTGGAGACAGCATGGTTTTAATAAATCGTGCTTGACCATTTAACCGTACAGAAAAAAGATTGACCAGCTCCTTTGGGTAGGGACTTCAGAGAAGAAGGGAAAACCATAAAACTCTTAGATAATTACACAGATACATTTAGTCACTTCAGGGGAAGGAATGGCTTCTCAAATAGAACGTAAGTGCAATAAACACAATGAAACAGGTTTGACAGGTTTGAGTCCATTAAACTGAAAACTTTGATTCATCAGAAGATAGCATCAATGAGAGAAGAGACAAGCCACCAGCAAAGGAAGATATTTTGAACACACCTAATTGTCAATGCTGCGGCATTTAAAGATATTAAAGATCCTGAAAATGAACAGATAAGTGACAGACAGTGCTACTGAAAATTGGGCAAAAGCCTTGAATAGTGACACCACATAAGACCAACACCAAGGACCCAAGACCATCAGAAAAGGTGCTCCACTGCGTGCGTCATCAGGACCCTGCAGGAGGCAGCCCTGGGAGGTCCGGCCTCACTCCCACCAGACTGCCAGCAGCTGAGACCCTGAGGGGAGGCGAGAGCCTGGGGCTGCAGGATCTGTCCTGCACTGTGGGTGAGAACGCTCCCTGCGCAGTCGTGTGGAGAAGACTCTGCGTCATCTAGGAGGTTGGGGTGTGCCTGCCTCACGACCCCCAGATCCC